TGAGCCCTTCTTCCCTGACAGTCTGGGAAGAAAGGAAATCCCTTCTCATCTCTGGAGATTTCCTCATGAACTCCTGCTGCCTCCTTCTGAGATCTCTATGGGGGCTCAGGAGGATCCAGCAGGGGTCAGCAAGTTCTGGGTGGAGGTTTTGCTGGCTGCGTTGTGGCCAGCACTTAGCTGAGTATATTTACCACCCTCCATGCCCTGGAACTAGAGATGAATCGGGGTGCTGAGCTGCAGCCACAGCCCCTCAGCCACACGGTCTCACTACACTGCCCAAGCTCACCTCCAACTTGTGCCTTGGCCTCCTGAGCTGCTGGGATCACCTGCATCCCTGCACCCACACTTTTATTTTTATTTTGAGACAGGATCTTGTTAGGTGTCCAGGCTGAGCTCGAACTATTGACTTTCTTGCCTCAGCCTCCCAAGGTGAAGGGTTACAAGCACGCACCACTGCACCCAGCTAGACGAATAGGATCCTTGGGCAGCATCCTTGGCTTCCTTTGCTGCAGAACTTTGAGGGAAATCGTCCATCCTCACCACGGCTTCCAAAGTCTCCCACATGAGGGGCTGGGGATTTAGCTCAGTGGCACAGTGCCTGCCTGGCAAGCGTGAGGTCGTGAGTTCGATTCCCGGTACCGGAAAAAAAAAAGTCTCCCACACAAGTCCACCTTTATTCTCATCATTTTGTGGGAAGCTCCTCTTGTTAAGGTCACAAATGCCATTCAAGCCACATTTAATCTCAGTGGAATAAGAAGTAATTTCTTCAACTAAAAGTGAGGATGGGGGCTGGACATGTAGTAATCCTGGCCCTCAGGTGGCTGAGGCAGGAGGATTGCTTGGAGTTCGAGGTCAGCCTGAACTACACAGTGAAACCCTGTCTAAATAAATAAATTAACAAATGAGAGGATGGGGAAGGAGAGGCTGTGTGTAACCATCACCTGGAGAGTGAGGGGACCAGAGAAGCCGGACGCACTGCCCGTAGGGGGTCACATTTCTCTCCAGCCACAGTGAGCTCGGGGCTGCTGCCTACCAAGCAACACTCAGCCAGGGAGATGAGGGAAGGGACAAGCGGGAGCAGGGGGGCCTGGAAGGCGGACTGCAGGCAGGGAGGGCAGACGGGCCAAGGGAAAGGGGCCGGTCACACAGAGACGGAGACTGCAGGGCCCCTTATCTGAAGACCTCTCGGGGCCCGCCGGGCCAGAGCTGGGGCGTGAGCTGGGGCGTGGAGGGAAGGCGGATTAGTGCTTTGCATGTCTGAAGTTTCAGTTTGGGAAGGAAAGAGCTCTGGAGAACAGGGCGAGGCCGCCTGCGACCCCAGTGCTCATGAGACTGAGGGGGCAGTTTGTTTATTTATTTATTTTTGTCTTTTTTGCAACAGGGTCTCGCTATGCATTTCAGGCTGGCCTTGAGCTCACTCTGTAGCCCAGGCTGGTCTCAAACTCTCAAAGATCCTCCTGTCTCAGCCTCCCAAGTGCTGGGATTATAGACATGCGCCACCATGCCCAGCTAAGGATGTAGTTTTGCATGACAGCCTGGGGATCTGGGCTCAGGACTGCAAAAAACGAAAAGAAAAAAGGCCTGGGGACAGAGGGCGATGACAGCGGTGAGGGCAGCACAACCCTGTGGTAAGGGCACAGATCGCTGTACTTAAAAATGGCTCTGGTGGTAAACCTCATATTCCACCTATCTTATCACCACCGGGAAACACAGACCACACCTGAAGGCTCCAGGCTGCTCTGCCTACGGGCTCAGGCACACCATTTCACCCATGACTCTTTAAACCAAGAGTCACTGGGATGATAGGCCAGTTTCTAATTTTGTTGTTGCTGTTGTTTTTTGTTTTTTGTTTTTTTGAGACAGGATCTCTCTATGCAGTTCAGGCTGGCCTTGAGCTCACTTTGTAGCCCAGGCTGACCTCAAACTCCCAAAGATCCTCCTGCCTCAGCCTCCTGAATGCTGGGATTACAGGTGTGCGCCACCACTGGCGTTGTTGCTATTGCTGTTTCAGACAGATCACACTGTGTGGTTCAGGCTGGCCTGGAAGTCGCAGTGATCCTCCTGCCTCAGCCTCCCAAGTGTTGGGATTACAGGCGTGTGCTATCACACCTGGTTCTCCCATGAATCTTTGCTGGCTTTGAAGCTTTGAGGAGAGCCCAGTGTTCTGCTGCTGGATGGGTGGACAGAAGGACAGATGGACAGCGTTGCTCCTGAGCACCGGGGCACCCAGCTTCAGGGTCCACAGCCCATGTGAAAACTGTTCAGAGGACTTCAGGCTTTGTTCCCTTGTTTTGCTTCCGCTAACCAGGGCTCCCTCTGGGCTCCCCCAGCCAGCAAGGCAGCCGGTGAGCTCTGTGGGTCAATCTGGAGTGAGAAGCGGTTTTTTGAGACTCAAAGTATTAAAAGAGCCAAGATTCTGACTCAGCCGCAGCTCAGCTGGGGTGTAGGAA